GACAGCAAACCTCCATACATTGTGAGGAGCTTCTGGGTCTTCACATCGGCAGCCTTGATGTACTCATTAGGTCAGTTCATTATACCCAGTGAGATTTCAGAGGAAACTTGGAGTTTTTCTTGTGGATCAGATGGGCAGCTCAACCAAGGCCTTAGTTGCCGCCTGGAAAGGTCAGGTGGCTGAGGCCTTGCACCATTTTGCTCCTATGCAGCCTCTCCCTGTACATTGATCCTGGGGTGCACCTTGGTTTACTGAGGAGCTCTGGAAGATGAAGCACGAGAAGAAGTGCCTGGAGTGCCATTGGAGGACAAGTTGAAGCCAGTTGGACCAAACACAGGTAAAAGCCCATATTTGGGACTACCTTGTGATAAGAGTGGTCAAGCATCAATATTTCTCCACCCTTATTGCATCCACTGATAGCCATCCAGTGGTGCTTTTTAGGGTGCCCTAGTTCCTCCTGGGGAGGGACAGGCCACTGGATCATCTGAAGGTCTACTGTAAAGAATATTTGGGCTATTTGGCAGATGAAATTGCTCATATCTGCTTTGAGCTGGACTTTGACTGGAGAGGTCCAGCTAAGGTGACTGGGTCTTAGTCTTGTGGTATGATTTGGGGTGAATTTGAGTCGACGATGACTGAGGAAGTGGACAATATTCTCTGGTGTTAGATTGGCCAACTTTTTATTGTACCCAGGTCCCTCAGCCTTGAAGGAGGCAGTGGTGTGCCCTTTCCTCAAGAGGTCAGCCTCGGACCCAGTGATTTTGGGAAACTACCAACCTGTCTCTAAACTTCCCTTTTGTGGGAAGGTTGTTGAGAAGATGGTTGATCTGCAGTTGCAGAGAAGCCTGGAGGAAACCAGACATCTAGACTTGTTTCAGTCAGGTTTCAGACCAGGATTCTGTACTAAGACGCACTTGTAGATGACCTGTGGAAGAGCCAGGATGGAGGTGGTCCATCTGTCCTAGTGCTCTTTGATTACTCAGTGCTCTTTGATTACTTAGTGGATCTGGGAATGCCGGGCGCTATACAAAGTCAACAGGACATTAAGGACCTCCTTCAAAAACTCAATAGACCGTGGAAGACAATACTGGAAGTCAAGACAGTTCACACAAGTGGCCATCAAGTGCGGCATATACCAAAGAGATGCACTGTTCCCACTGCTGTTCTGATAGGCTTGAACCCCATCAGCCAGATAATCACAAGGACTGGATACGGATACAAGTTCAAGAGTGGAACTACCATCAGCCACCTTCTCTACATGGATGACATCAAGCTGTATGCTAAGAGCAAATGAGACATTGACTCGCTGATCCACCGGACACAGATCTACAGTAAGGACACTGGGATGACATTTGGACTGGAGAAATGTGGCCAGATGGTAATAAAGAGAGGAAAGGTAGTTAAGATAGATGGGGTGGAACTACCAGTGGGTCACATAGCGGACATACAGACCAGCTACAAGTACCTTGATATCCCACAGTCACTTGGGAACCACAATGAGGAGGAAAGGAAGACAGCAACATCCAAGTATCACCAAAAGATAAAACAGATCATGAAGAACCAGCTCAATGGGAAGAACAAGATCTACACCATCAACACATACACCCTGCCAGTCATCAGATACCCTGCTGGTATAGTGCCTGGGGTGGGCCACTTGAATAGGCCATTTCTGGGATGACTCCAGTGAGCTGAAAAGCAATCAGTGAGTGCTCTGTCCATGGCAATGGACTGATTTTAACGTTCCCTGCTACTAGATCATATCTTAACTGTCCCAAACCAAGAGGGGGGGAACAGTTCTAATATGTGGCTACCTGCATGCATTGGACCATTGAGAACTTGGGACAGGTCCATGGTTGCCATGGAGGCCATGAACATCTGAGCTGGACTTGATGCCACTAGGCAGCAAATTAAAATTCCCAAGCACTTACGATCATGGGGATCCTATTGCCATCTCAGCAATGGAATCCAGCAGCTCAGGCAGGGAGGGTGCTGGGCATCAGGGAGGATGTTATACCAGCAGCAATCCCATCTGTTCCCTTAAGCCCAGCTTCAACCAGAGCATCCAAATCTGGTTATCTGCTGAGTAGAGCTTCTGAAAGCCTATAACAACTCAGATATGACAAGAGCCACTTGCCTGGGCTCTCAGATGGTGCAGGACCTGGGTGGGCACAACTCTGAGAGGGATATACAGCCTCTGAGCTCAATCAGGTCTCAGTTGAATGCCCCAGGGTGACACTCTCATCCATGATAAGATCATGAATCAGGGCAACTTTGTTCCATACTAACTTGGCATAGTAGTAGCCAGAACCCAGAGCCACTGAGAATCCAAGCACCAGGTGCTGAGGGTGAGGGTACCTGCACAGTATTTTGATAATGTCAGACTCTTTACTTTCAAACTTGTCAGACTCTTTACTTTCAAACTTGCCAGCTTCAGCCCTCACTTTTTCCCCTCTTCCAAGGAACCTGAAAGTGCTAGGAGCGTGCTCAACCTTTGGTCATGGAAAACCTGAAGGGCTAGTATTCTTCCTCACTTATTGTGTGAGCTAGGAATATAGGAAATAGGAAGGTTAAAATGGAAGAATAGTATCCACCTCATTAGTCATTATGCAAGAAAAGTCTGTGTTTTTAATTCTTGTGCCAATTTGGAGTTTGATAGACTGCTTGGTTCTTCATAGAAAAAATATATATTGAAAAGCTCTTTTGATGGCTAAAAGCTGCTGATTAAAGACATCATGACTCAATTTGACCAGTAAAAATCCTGAAGTTTGGGAACAAAATGCACAGGAGAGCAAGGTGTCTCCAGACTCTTCAATGGATTGCAGAAGCATAACCTCCGGGTTGAAATTAGAGTTCTCAGTCTGAATAACAAAGGAGTAGGTGGGATCCGAATGGCAGAAGATGGACAGAGAAGCAAAGGTATATTTGAGATAGTTTCCACATAAAGAGAACTCCTTGTTTGCTGAAATGGGTGCCTGGATAGTATAACAAAATTAGGAACAAACACTTACAGTACTAAAAATTAGCAAAGTCCAGAAATCAAGATATGTCCCTCAGAATTGGGGGGAAGGGGAATAATATACAGCATTACCTTATTCAGACCACCCATAATGGGTTTTAGAGGCTTTTAAGTATTCATGATCCAATTAGCTGAAAACACACATCTTTATTATGGTCACTGACCAGAATACAACAAGTTAATAGCTGTGATGGAATGGACTTATGAAGGTCAGGCTCAGGGAGATAAGCGTGTTCTTAGCCCCCAACAGGCGCGAGGGGAGTTCAAGAAGATGAGGCTGGCACTTCCCTAAGGAATTCACGGTGTTGTGGATGGCTGGCTTGGGAACTAGGGTACAGTTTGGTGAGATTTCTGTCTTGAGGTTGAAGCTAATAACACAACAGAACTGTATTTGCATTGCCTCTTGGAGTTCTTTGGGCTGAACCTGACAATAGCAGATGTAAAAATGTATGGCTTCTGTAGGTGTTCTAAGAATTTGGAATGAGGAATTGAGGGTATAATCTACTAACAGTTCAGAAGCCTGTAATCATGAGCTATCCTTTTGGACAAAAAATGTGGGAGCAGATAGTCCTTTCCAGGTTGTCATCAATAAACTCCTTTAGGCAGACAAATTCTGCCTCAGGTATGGAATAAAGGCATTTTGTGAGAATATGAGCATCAGGACCATGGTTATAGTATAATCACAGAATCATGTGCTTCCTCCCCTCTCAAATGCATGAGCGTAATCAGCATATTTGCTCCATAAGATGTCAGTAGTTGCTGCAATGCTATGATGTGGGAGCGAGAGAGGGAAATGTCAAGTCTTGCAGGCAGTAAGTCTTGCATGGTGGGAAGTTTTATGCACACTGAGTAGATTATGAGTTTGAAGCCAGTCCATTCCCCATACTAGTTGCAGTGACTCTTGATGCTTGCAGATGGTAAGTAGGAGTAAATCTATGTTCTGAAATAAGCTCAAAGCTTAAGTGCCTGCCATTGAAATTAAATGCCTCGCAGAGGATTTGACAGGCTGAGCGGGCAAGGCATATTTGTGTGTGATGAAGTTGCCAGTATCACCAGAGTCTACTGAGGCTGGCAGTTGAACTGCAGGGCTTGTCTGGGATGAAGTATAACAGAAATGAATACATGTTGATATGTAGTGTTGCATGTCTGGCTCCACTTGATGCCAGCTCTACAAGGTAGACAGACCAGGAAACTGACCCAGTAGGATGGTTAGAACTACAGTATATTTTATTGTGATAGGATGTAATAACAGAACTCTGTAAGTCTGCCCATGTTTTCTCTTCCTTCCCTCTTATACCCCAGCGAGTTGGAGAGAGTCAGCCTGAATTTCTAATAGTTTCCTGCCCCCCTCGCTTAGCACATGCTTTTCCTGCACCTGTTGTTGTCCTAATGGCTTCTGGATACCTTCTTCATTGTCATTTCCATGGCTCCTTACAATTAATTTATTGGATTTCATTTTCATGTGCCCTTTGAGATTGCAACTGACTTATCTCCTGAAATACTTGGAGCATTCAGGGCTGTTGTTGGTCGTTAAGTCATGTCCAACTTTTCGTGACCCCATGAACCATATCGCACCAGGCCTTCTTATCCTTCACTGCCTCCCTGAGTTTGCTCAGTTTCATGCTCATTGCTTCAGTGATGCTAT